GGGCCCGACTGGCACCGACCGGCAGCGGCAGATCCCTGATGTACGCAGTACAGTGTAAAACCGTATGGGTAATTCCAGAAATTAGGGGTCCAAAGGTGTGACATTTTTGTGCCCCTGTTACATCTGACCTTTGTTATTTGACATGGAAATATCACCGGAATTGATTTCAAACTAGTACTTTTCTGTTTGGCAGGTAATTTGCATTTATTCATCACGCTTAGAAATTAGAAAATGTGTTCTGAACTTACAAAATCATATGTCAGATGTGACAGGGACACACACACACACAAAAATGGACCCCTAATTTCTGGAAAATTTACCCACATTCCGAAGTTGTAACCACACCACTTGTATTTTTATGTGTATGTGTCACATTTGCAAAAACGATTGTGAAGAACTTGTTCTCTGCATCATGTACACTGGTGTACGCATTCATGTACATGTTCCGACACATGTGCACGTGTACAGTGTATACATGTCACTTCCACTAGCTACGGACATGACGGATGAGCTTGATGTACATATACATGTACATGTACACCTGTGAAATGTACATGTACATGTAATTGCTAGCTCTTACTGCACTGAAACATTAGAAGTATGAAACATTGTACATGGAGGGTGCTCAGCTGACTGTATTTGGCAGTCAGCAAGGTGTGACACCTTAAATGCTCCTGTAACTAATGCACATGGCAACCAGTGATGTCCTCAGACAGTGCGGCTACTCAATTAAATGCCAAAAGGCTACAGTAGGACATCAGGGAATGAACTTTATCGTGCACCGCACCAGCTCAATGCTTTTCAAATTTCACACTTGATAGAGTACCGTAGTCTTTGTGTTGGGCAGATTGAAATTACATGTATGAGATTCACAGCTGCTTCCGAGTTGACTTGGTGACACACATATAACTCTTGTTCTACTTTAGTTCCCAAGTCCACCTCAGGCTCAGGGGCACTTGAAGACGCAATAACCTTGGTTGAAACTCAGGGGAAAAGGTTCACTGTTCCCCACTGCCCTTTCAGGGTGCTAGGAAGGACAGATGCGCATTGTAACTTTTGCCAAGCACTTATTGGATGGAGTTCTTTTTAACAGTAACATGGGTCATGGCTTCTATGTACACACACATGCGTGAATTAGGATAGCAAGTAACCCATGATGCTGTGCTTGTCCATAGCTGCAACATATTTCGTCCACAGAATTCCTAATAAGGCATTTCCCCTTCCCATCGTCAGCAAGGGTGTTGCAGGGGTGGATGAATAGAAAAGGAAGATTAGGAAAAAGAAATGGAATTTGAAACTATTTTTTTTCATCCTACTGAACAGAATCGAGATGTCCTCAACAGTGTGGCCCAAGATAGCATTATCACAGCTGTGGCACCCCTGCTGGAGAACAACCAGCCCTCGCCGGAGATCTGCGCTTTCTTCAGCAAGCACTGCCGCAACTCACCCCGTTCCATCGTGGTCCTGGAGATGTTTATGCCTGTCATTCACCGGATTCTGAAACACAATATGGTATGATGGCATGTGCTGGTCCCCCCCCCCCAGTCCTTCCGCACTCTTGTGATCTTGATTGTCATAGTGATAACAAAAGTACAAAATCGCGTATGAAAGATAGACCCAAGTTATCACTGCATCACATCCTTGAGCCTGCTCTCCTTAAACATGGACTGCTGAGTGAGCATATACGTTTCCAAGGGGCAACTATTTTCCTCATCTGTGTCTAGATACACATTTAAATCAACTACATACAAACGCAGTCAGTTGTTTCTCCCCAACAGTGCCTACATTCAGGCACTCGTTTATTGTAAGCCTTGATGGAGAGAAGCAAATCCATTAATGTGTCTTTCTTCAAGGATGCATACCTGACAAACATGAGGACTCCCAGACTAACGTTGAAAACCTGTCAAGGGCTGTGTTATACAGAGGAATGGGGTGGGAAGTGATAGAGTCGTAGACGTGACTTCACCATCTGGGGGGAAGACAATTTGTGACGGTCTGTCTAGTTGTGGTCTCCTTGCAGTATCCGTTGATGGCACTGACCTCATGAGGGCCAACAAAGGACATTTTATTTGTGCACACTCTTGTTCACACATAAGAATGATGCAAAATGCATGCTGTTAATTTTCACCTGAATGTGTACAAATCTTGCATCTTTGCATGAGAGAAACATATATGAGAATGGACACACAACAAAAACTTGCTAAGCAGTTCGTTAATAACAGTAATATTGTGTGCGGTACATATTTTAAGGCCATACTGTTAATGATGTAACTGTGGGTACAATTGTGCGTAGAGTTGAGAGTACAAAATGCCAGAGGCCCGTACATGTACTTCTAATGAATTTCATCCAAGATTACAGAATTGAGTTTTGAACATCTTAACTTAAGAGAGACTGTGAAAGTGACATAACAAACAGGGTGATCGGATTTGTGGACTAGGTGTACCCTTATTACTTTGCATGTCTCCATATAGGATTTTGGCAAGAATCCCAGACTCCAGGGCTTTGTGCGTGATTTCATACTGGCTCTCCAGAGCAAGAATGACAAGGAACAGGCATTGCAGTCATTTGTCAACACGTGAGTATCCTCTCCTGGATTCTTTTAAGTCATTGTATTTGTGCCCTCTGCAGTCGTTGCATCTGGGAGGGGGTTTAAACTCGTCAGAGTGGTGTCTGCTTATCCTTTCAGTTTATGTACCGTACTTTTGTGGTCAAGGCTAGACTATACGTGGATGGAGGCAATTCTAATTGAAAATAGACACCCGGGAATAAAGAGGCCTGCTCCAGTGTCATTGCCTTGTCGTGTACCCAAAAGTGTGTGGACATGAACTCGCTACAGCAGTTGCTATTGAAGGCTCTTGGCATTTCACTTTGGCTGCTTTTGTGTCCCTCGGGTCTGAAGAAATGCAGCATCTGACCCTGCAGAAATCTGAAGAGGTTCTGCCGTGCCTTGCCAGTGGTCGGAAAGACAAAAAGCTGTCACTGTCTTTGAAAATAAGTCATCATTTTTGTGATCGAAGATTACCAAGAAAAAGGTTGCAGTACATGAGCACACGCAATCACTTCAGGGACAAATTTTACTCAAAATCAAGTTTATTATAAATACTTGATGTAAAATTTATATGGTAGCGATTTTTTTCAAATCTGAAATTCAACTTCCCGTAACTGTACCGGACCAGTGAAATAGGCAATACAGAAAAGAACAGCCAGGCTATGTACCGATACACACCAAGAAATCTTCCATCAACATCTCAAATTGCCATAGTTTTGGCGGTCTCGGTTGAACATTTGAAAGATGCTTGTTTTTTAACACACATACCTTATGCTGATGTTGTGAGGGGGAAAAGTGCATAATTGACACGTGAAGAGAATTAAGTGGCTTCCAGTGTCCTGTCTAGACCGAGTAATTACACGGATGGGAATTACACGCTGTCTTCTTGCCTTACAATGTATCTGTCTGAAGATCAGTACTATAAAGCTCCTTTAGATTCGCTTCTCCTGTGGGATTTTGTGTAATGACTCCATGAAAAACCTTCACTGTTACCAACAGTAGCAAAACTGTGTGGTGTCTGCAAAAGTGGTGGTCTGTCCTTTTTTGCAAAATTTAAGGCGCCTTTCCATTTGTACGTTTCTGAGGTGCGTCGGGTACACGATGCATTCATGCGTTTCACTTTCAGGGACACAAAAATCGACTCCATTAACATAACACACGTGTGCGTTGTGTTGCGTTTGGCCGTCAAACTCTCTCCCAGGGCAATTTTGACGGATATGCGACGTGTGGCGCAAGTGTTGACGTGTATATGGAAGGCACCTCTAGAGTCCAGTTACGGTACATTCTGCATGGCAGATTTGCATCCAATGTCAGTGGCATACATGTAGGCCATTACATCTGTGTAATATGAGCAGCCTAATCATACGTGTCATCTGTTTTCTTTCATTTCATTAGCCTTTTTTGGGGGGGTGGAGTTAACTTGGGTGGATTATGTAATTCTGTTTGTATCATGTTCATTGAGCTTTAGATGCAGGGCAGAAAGGTGCAAGGTCATTTTTTTTGTGTTCTCAACCGGAGCTTACACTTCAACTTTTCTTCCTTTTAGATTTCACGAGACATGGATTAGACATCACCTGTGGGATATCATACGAAAAATCTGTTAAATATCATCCAAGGGCTTCATTTTCGATACTACCAACAAAATGGTCCGTTTTGTCCCCCTTGTTTGATATTGAACTTGCTGATACATATTTACAAGTCCTGTACTTTCAATTTGTTTTTCCCTCCAGCATGCATGGACCAACAAGCGAATGTCCCCACCCCCGTGTCCTGCCCAACATGGTCGCCATTTGTCTGGCCTCTATTGCTGTCTATTTCCAGGAATGCAATGGGTATGTTACTGGGGAGAAAGAAATGTAGTCATTTCGTGGCAGCTTTTATGACCTTAAACTGTTTTGCTTGTTGCTGATGAAAGTTTTGGGTGATAAGTCATTTATGCAAGAAATTGGTTCTGTTCACAGTTCTGATGTCAGAGATTTTGTTATCACAAACACCAAAGCTTGGCCCTGGCTCAGATCCAAGCATGTTTTAAGGGAAATTTGCAGTGCATTACATTCCACTGAATACATGCACTTCCGAGGCATTCAAAGTATGAATTTGATTGTTGGCAATGCCTACTTGTACTTCTCAAGATAGGGTTGCATTATGTTGGCTGTGTGGCTGCAGTGCTGTTTTCTGTAGTCTTGTAATTCTGTGTTTGGCATTATTCAGCTGCATAGTGCAGATTGTGTAAAATATGTTGGTGTTGTGCTTGTGTAGATGTAGAGTGCAGCCTGACATCACCATCGAGGACAGCGACGGTTCTGCTGATGATACCGTCCTCCAGGACGAAGACACCATGATGTGCTTTGTCACCATCCTGACCATGACGTAAGTTCCTTAAATTCCTGCCATCGCCCCCCCATGACCCATTGTCCCATGACCCATTGTCCCACCCCCCTCTCCGTAGCCAGATCAGTAGTACTTCGACCCAATTTGCAAGGGAAGCTTGAAGGGAAGGCCCTGAAGAGGACACGGAGTGGGTGTGGTCAAAGCTTCAAACAATACAAAGGTCTTTGTCTTTTCCAAATTCAGAGCCTGGGAATGGAGGAACCACCAGAGGTCTCAGTGTGGCGTCCCTTGCCCCGTACCCCCTCAAGAACGTTGCAATTTTTGCCTCTCTGCAAAACTTGCCTTCCGTTGCCCAATAAGCTGTGTTTTTTTAGATACCAGTGCATGTTCTTCAAATCCTTTTGTCTGAGCACCAGTGAATTTGAAAAATGTCTGAGCACCGGAACAACCTGTGTTGTCTCCCTGTGAAGACACTGCTTCTTCCCTTTTCATCACGGTCAGGGGGCCTGTCTAAAATTCAGAAGACTACTGTCCATGTCGTTCTACTTTTGCGTTCATTTTGGGGGTTTCTGGTTTGCCTCCGTGGATCACGTTTCACAGCGTAATAGCTTCTCAGAGGAGCAATTAATCCTTCACAGTACATGCCGTTCACTTATCAGGCCGCAGGGCTCAGTCACGTGCTCAAGTAACTTAGGCGGGGTCACTGATTGAGGTATTGTCAGCAGAGGCTTCTTTCACCAAGGCAAGGTTTAACTACACATGATTCTGCTCAAAAGGGCTCCTGGCATGGTTCAAGGGAAAGACATGGTAAATCACAATGCATATGCGTATACGGGCAGTCATAAACCATTTTCCACTCACAAACAATAGGACAATAACAACCTCGAGTGAAAAGAAATGTGTGTGTTCGAAATCATGTACCAAACTTGCATCATATTCAAGCATTGAAATAAGGGGACAGTAAAAGTGCATGATTATTAACAGGAAGAACTTAGTGGAAATAACCTTAATTAAAACTATGTGAGCCTGTGGAACTACTCAAGAAACTGATTTCTTAATCTGGATGATGACATTTCGTCCATGTACTGTAAAGATCAAACATGTCCGGAAGACTATCCTTTGTTGGGAAACCCAACAATTAATTTGAAATAAAACTGTTTCACAGCAGTTCTGTTCAGATGTACGCATAAACACTATTCATGAGAAAGTCATTACTTATCTTGGTCCCTGAATCTGTTTTATAAATTCAAAACTTTTGAATGGAATGGTACCAGACTATTGCATGACTGGCATTAGTCTTCCTTTCAGTATTATTCAAAATCTGGCTGTAAACAACATGATAGGTTCAAAGTTCTTCATTAGAGCAGACAGCTAGTCATGTGTTTATGAACTTTTGTTTTATTGCTTTCACATCTACCCTCAAGTTCCCAACATGAAGAGTTCATCTCCCTTTCAGTTTCCATATAACTGGCAGATGAATTGAAGCTGTCCAGCTTTGAAGCGTCATCTTGTCAGTTTGATTGCAGCTGGTTAGGTCACCTCGACCAACTCTGCCTTGCCTAAATCTGTTTACTGCTGGGCAGGCATTGAACAGTGTTTTCCCACAAATCATTGATGCTGGAACATTATGAGGTTTTCTGGCTCAGGACTTCCATGTATTGTGTTCAGTGGAAGGTAAAAGAAGGGTGTTATTCAGGCGGCATACCTCCCCCCCTCAAAAAGAAAAGTCTGAGAAGATTGGTTTTGGTACTTGTATCTCATCCCTCAAAAGTAAAGAATCCAGCACTTTGGATTCGTGTTGTTGACAGAGCTCATTTGAGGCTTCCTACATCCTTAATGACAAGGGCAGTCAAATTAATTGAGAGCGTTTCAACGCCCACAATCACAAACCCGTTCAGAGTGCTGACCTATGTACATGCTAGCCAAAATAATGATGAGCTGAACAGGAACACACACAGCTGTATAGCAGAGCAGGAAGCCATGGTGATGTCCAGCATTAATTAAAGCAACCTGCAGTGGCCGTCGGTGCTCAGAATGATATTCATGGAACTGATATTATTTAGGTTCCATTGTTTTATCATTCCAATTCAAATCCTCTAAAATTCCACGCGTCATTAGTCATGTTAGTAAATTTTGTCACGTTGTTTCCCTGTTCTTCATTTACAGATGTTCCATTGAAAAAATGTTCACAAAGAACAGGAAGAAAGTGTTTTGCACGGTTTGCTTTTCAGTTCCCACAATGCAATTCATCTGTGGCCCTTCATTGCCAGATCATAAACTCTCCGGATTCTCTAGCTGTACACGTACCAGTAACTACATATACATGTGTCAGTAATGCAATACCTGGGCACTGGCAGTGTACAAGGCAAGCTATACAGTAGCTGTGCCGGGCATTTTAAGAAGAACAAAAAAAAAGAAAGCAAAAAAAACTGAGATTCTGCTTGGAACAATTCATTAAAATTGCATGTCTCTCTGTTCCTCTTCCACTCTGTCTGTCTATCCATATTTGCTTTGCGTCAAACAGTGCCCTGCCAAAAGGGAATGATGTCAGCAGGCGACCTGTGCACGAATTATGCATGGGAGATCGGTTTAGTGGAGTTTTTGAGCATCGGGCTGCCCCCTCCCCCCCCAAAAGGGTAGTGTCAAGATTTTAAACATCTCAGCTCCATCAGTGTTTGGTGGAAGAACTCCCTGGTCACAATTTCCTGCAGCTGATCTGGCTCAGCTGATCGAATCAAGTCATTTCTTCGTGATTGAACAGCTCTTGAAGATTGTATTTACAACTTTCCTGCGTTTTACTCCTACTTAAAGCTTTACCTTGCACGTGCAGCATTTCCTTTTTTTTGTGTCATCAAAGTCCCCGCACGCAGGTGATCAAGAAAGCCTCACAAACAATATCCAACAAAGACATTTAACGTTAAGTTTTTCCTCATGCTGTGCACAAAAGCCAACCTGGAGGTTGATTGATGCCAAGGATCTCTTCTTGGCGGTGCCGTAATTAAATGCAGGGGTTTGTCCTTCTCTTTTCCCTTTTTGGCATTTTCAAATGCCTGCGTCAACTGACGTGTTCTATGAGATTTGAGCTCGTCTTTTTGATCGCGACATTGACTCTGATGAAAAATTGATGAGAAAATCCTGAAGCTCTCCAGGGCTGTTAACAGCTGGAAGAGCAACCTGGGGAGAGAGGCATTCAAAACAAAATGAAATCATTAAAGTGGAAACCAGTGTATTTCTATAGTCCCTAGGATCTTGCACGATCAAGGAAATATGTGGTAATTCAAGGCAGTGTTTAGTTATACAATGATATGTGTACGTGTGCATGCGATCAACGATAAGAGTAAGTACATGTATATACATGTGCTACCAGTTCGGGCATACATACATGGACATGTATGACACTATTGAGTGCACATCTGATGTGTCCTTGCACACAATGGCTGTCCCATGGGCAGTTGTCCTACATGTAGGAATTTGATAAAGCACTGTTTTTTTTTGGGGGGGGGTGTTTTTATTCTTTGTATCAGCAGTTGAATGCTACATGCATGTACATTGTTTATTTTTACTAACCTGGGCAAACCAAAATTATACAGCACATTCTTTGGGGGTCATGGCTTTTATTGTTTTTCCTGTTTTTTTTGCCCTTGTTTGTTCACTTAATCATGAAGTGTCCTTGTACTGGTATTTGAAAGCTTTTCAGTTAAGTTTTTTTCCTTTATCTCTCTGCGAGGATGAGAACAGGTGAATGGTTAGAATACTCAGAGCATTGGACGAGGCAGTATTGTGTACATACCAACTGTTCCAAGACATCTTTTCTTTTTTCAAGATGTATTTTTTTTGCGTTGGGGAGATGTTAATTATATATAACAGGTTTTGCCCTTACCCAACGTATATTAATAAGTACTGTATGCTTACATCTTGAAAATAGTTATCAGTTAATTTAATTAATTAAATAATTAATATACGTTGGGTAAGGGCAAAACCTGTTATATATAATTAACATCTCCCCAACGCAAAAAAAAAAAAAAAATACATCTT